ACCACAGTCCCTGTCCAGCCAACTTTTTAAACTAAAACAAGACACACATCAGGGAATACAAATTTAGTTGTTACAGGGGTAGAGCATGAACTGCTAAAACGCATTATTTCAAAACAAGCAAATCTGACCTAACGATGAACTGAAATACAACATTCTAAGACACGTTCTTACACTGACCACAATGGTTTAGTGTCCTCGCTGCCACAACCGTGGTCTCTGCTCAGATTCTAATCTGTGAGAGACTGACTAACAGCAAGCAGGAATGACCAGCTCAGTTCGACAGCCACCTGAATTTCTGTGGAGAACCACTGGTATCTCCAAGGGCTTTGGAAAAGATGGTATACCAAGGCACGGGCTTTTTATTCTTTGGTCAACTGGCTCTAGTTACCAAAGAAAAAGTCTTTTACCCATTCAATCTGCCCGCCCTCCGACTCCCCGATCCAGTCATGGCTCAACCTAACCTATGTTCCCCACTGAAAGGAAGGCTCTGTCTGCTGCACATAGGAGACCTCTAAGCTGGACTTCACTTTACAAATTACAACATTGCCCACCCAACAAGTTCTAGCCCTACTCACCCTCTCGTCCAGATCGCTTTCTGCATCACACTGGGGAAAAGGAAAGACAGGTGTCACAAGAGGGAAGAAGAGTGGGGCCCAAGGGAGAGAGGGGACTTTCAGAGAGGAATTGAGGGGGGGGGGGCAGTACAGGTGGAGAGCACTTACTATGTATCCAGCTTCCAGAGAATGACGGGAGGAGGCCTGAGAAAGACCAGAGTCCAGACATAAGGAAGGCTGACTGGCGAGGCCTTTGGATAAAGTCTAAACTCCCTAGCAAGGACCTCAAGGCCCCTCACGACACACTCTCAATCTCTTTCTAGCTGCTTCTGCTATGGCTCACCCCTGTTCCCAACGCTCTCGCCATTTTCTGAACATATTCTCACATCTCTGTGCTCTTGCTCAAAACAACTTTGCGCGTTTCTCCTCTTAGCAAACTTATGACTATCCTTCAAGGCCTGACTAAGACATCCTAGGGGGCTTTCCCTAACCACAACCCTCCTCCCATCCCCCAGGCAGAATGAGTGGCTTCCTCATGTGGGTTTCTGCAGCATCTCTCCCAGATCTCTGCCTTCTGTAGCTTCTCAGGTTTTGATCTAGGTATTTGCTCAGATTGTTTTTTTTGCTAAACTGCTATTGCCTGGAAAGATCTGAGACCATATCTAATTCATTTAGGATTCCATTAAGTCTAAACATCTCTGATTAATCAACATGTTTGAAATAGACAAGGCCAGCCAAAAGCGGAAAAGTCTGACTGTGGGCATGTCTCTTATCAGACCTGGATTGAGGAGTGAGGGCTCAAATTTGCTCTGCCTTCTTCTCTGCTATTTGAGAGTAAAATCACTGTTTATGATGGGCAGTAGCACTGCTGATGGAAAACAAGTCTATGTGAAGGACATGCTGTCCAGAGTTTTAAAGGACAAGGATCTATGACAAGCTCACCTCTTTCCTTCTCCGTTTATTGGGCCATTTTCGGGCCCGATCCCCAGAGGGCCGGCCAGGCTCCCGATCAGAGCTGTCCCCTGGCTCCCCAGTGGCCCCACTGGAACCCCCCCTCTTCCGCTTCCCAGAATGCTTCAGCCGATGTTCCAGTCGCTCTGGGGGCTGAAGAGATGCATCCTTCTGTGGAGGAGGAGGTGGGACTAAAGTAGATGAAGAAAGAAATCTCCCGACCTCTCTAGGGGTGACCAAGCTACCAAAGTGGCTCTCAGGCCGGGTAACCTGGCTGGTCCCTGGAGACTAACTCTACCTCCTCCCACCCCAGGGTGGGGCAGAGACCCGGCCAGAGGAGCCGGTTGCTCTGGTTTGGGGTGCCAGCATTCCCCCCCTCAACTCCACCCACTCCAGGCACCATACTCTTCTCTCCGCCCCTCTGAAGCCCCCAAAGGTCCCCAGCTCCATCAGGCCCCACCTGCAAGGCCTCAAGGCTGGCGAAGCTGGCGATGGCGAAGCCATCGATCAAATCCTCCTCCTCTTCTTCCTCCTCCTCAGGCTCCTCCTCGGCCTCCCCGTCGTCTGCGCCCCCCTCCTCCTCCTCCTCCTCTTCCTCCCCGCGGCTGCCCGAGCCGGCAGGCCGCTTCCGAGCTCGGGGTCGCGGGGGCCGAGGCCTGGGACGGGGCCGCCGTCGTCTCGGGCCTCCGGGCCGCTCTCCGGACGAAGCTGACGACCAAGGCCTGGCGGGCGGTGGCGGCGACGAGGAGGACGAGGAGCCGCGCGGGGCGGCCAACAGGGCCCGGGGTGCATCGCCGCCGGGACCTCGGCGGCGCCGCTGCTCCCGGTCTCGGTCTCGGCGCGAGCAGCGCCGCCGCCGCCGCTCCCCCTCGGCGGCCCAGCCCGGGCCCGGAGCCGCGGCCGCTGCCGTCTCCATGGCGACCGCCCTCAGCGCCGCATCCGGAGGCGGCGGGGCCCGAAGCGGCCTGTCCGCAGGCCCGGGGTCGCAGGCGCGGCGCTGGCGGCTGCACAGGGACGAAAAGGCCACGGCTTCCCCTTTAAAGCAGGATCTACTGGCCCCGAGCTTGCCCCAAGGCCAAGGCCCGGGGAGCCGGCGCCGCCCCCGGGGCGACAAGCCCGAGGGCCCCCCCTGTGGGGCCGGTGGGGCCGAGAAGGCGAAAACGGGGCGGCCGTCCCTTTAAGGCGAGGCCTCAAGTTGTCCAGCCCCTGACCCCTTTAAGACGACCCGATGGTGTCCAGCCGGCCTAGTGCGGTGGCCGCCCCCTGCCAGGGGTCGAGACAAGTCTCCCCGAGGAAGAGGAAGGGCCACCCCTTTAAAAGGGACCGAAAGCTCGCCCCGAAACGCAGACCTCCCCTTTAAAAGTGTCTCCAGTCCTCCGGCTAAAAGAGGCCACCCCTTTAAGGAGTCCAGGGTCCTCCAAACAGCAGGCCGCCCCTTTAAGGGCTCGGGAGTTAAGTTTCTGGTCCTCCACCAAGCGGCCACTTCCCCTTTAAGCTGAGTTTAAAGAACTTCTTGCGTGGGGGAGAAAAGGAGGTGAGAATCCCCACTCGCTCCAGCTCTCCCAACAGCACAGTTCTCAGTTTGTCAGCTTCTGTTCGATGGCTTTCCCTTTAAGGTTGTCCGATGTAGTCTGCCGAGTTCACCGGCCACCCCTTTAAGGAGATTTAAAGGGGCCTCCTCCAGGCCCGGCTCTTCCAGCCTCCGCCTCCGGTCGCCATGAAAGGCTGGGGGGGGGGCGGGGCCGCGGGGCCAGCCCTCCAAAGCCCCGGATGTGAGGCAACGGTGACGGGTAGAGCTTCTCTGTCTGCCGACATAAAAGTCTCTTCCTCCTTTCCTCCGTCTCTGCCTGACTTGCGCCGTAAGGGATCCGGAACGGCCGTTGGGAGGCGGGGGAGCTCCAGTGCACCCTCCTGTTTTCTCCTTTGGCGTCTTGAGCCTCTTCTCCGCCAGGACTTCCCTGCCCCTCCTCCCTCTTCCTCCTCAGCCTACGCCTCCTTCCTCTCTCGGCCTCCTCCCACTCTCCGCCCCCTTCCCCTCGCCCTTCCACAAGCTTAGTCGTTGATAGGTTGAGAAGTGTACGACAAGGCGAAGGGCGGAGTCAAGCTCCGGGGAGTGGGTAATATGTAACCACCCTCAAATCTTGGATTGGGTATACGTCAGATTAGCCCCGCCCCTCATCGGGTCTTGTGACTCGACTGGTTAGAAGTAAGCGCTTGGGGCGGTCCCCCAGGTGACCCCGCCTCTTCCTGCTCTCTGTTTATTGGTCCGTCTTCAGACAGCGCCGAGACCAAGAGTCGTGATGTAGTGTGCGAGTCCTAGGGGCGGTTGGCCACTTGGGGGCGTGTGGCCGCGGAAGGTTCCTCTCGACTGCCAGTTACGTCGTCTCCGCCTTTTCGCCGCTTGGCTTAGCCCACAGGCCGCCTGGCTTCTCGCGCACGCGCGTGGTGATACTGTTGAGCGGCTGGCAGCTCACCGGGATCCCCCGCGGTGCCGGGCGGCCCGAGCACGCGGCGTGCCTTGCGAGCGTCAGACGCGCTGGGACGGAAACTGCGTCTTGTTGTCGCTCCCTTCAATGGGAGAGTGCTGGCTTGTGGTGTCCGCGTGCTAATAAGGAAACAAACACCGTGCGTTCATGCGCTGGCTACTTTTGTCACATGTTAACTCACTTGGCAGTAAGAATTCTTTTAGGAAGGTACTGCTATTAGCCCCATTTTACAGAGGGGGAGGGGAATTGATGTACATTTAGTTTCCTACACAGGATTTGGACTCAAGCCTAACTCCACAATCTGTGCTCTTAGCCACTGCTCTATTCTGCCTCTAAGTTTCAAAAGATGGAGAACGCCACTTCTGGCCTCTGGTTGCCTGGGTTACCGTTTTAATGAGGACATTACATTATAACACTCAACTTGCTTGCTTTTTTTTTTTTAAGTAATCTCTACACCCAACGTGGGGCTTGAACTCATGACACCCCGAGATCAAGAGGTGTGTGCTCCACCAACTCAGCCAGCCAGGCGCCCCCAACTTGCTTTCTTATGTGTAAAATGGGTGTAATTCCCTTTCACAGGGCTATGTGCCAGTCAAGTACATATGACAGGTTGTTGGAGCTGCTCAATTACAGCTGATTACTTTTATCTCTTGAATCCAGAAGCAAGTCCTGGCCTGCATGTTAGGAGGAATTCGGAGCCATCTTGATCAAGGCCTTGGTCCACTCTGGGTCCCTCAGTCTCCTCCTTGCTGTAAGTGAATTTAGAGAACCCTGAGCAGGGTCCAGGGTCACAATATCTTCTGGAGCAGGTTCCGAAGTATCCCTCCACACAGGAAAATTCTCAAATCAAGGAAGTAGCTCCGATGACCATTCCCCCACTTCTTCCTGTATCCAACCCTCATTGTCTTCCCTGGCACCTCCCCCATTTCCCAGTCTTTGGGGGCCAAAGTAGAAACATCAGGGAGTGCCGTCAATCAATCTCAAACTCAGCTAAAGACATACAAAAGGATCAGAAACATATCGAAAACTTTACTAGAAATATAGAGAAAAATATATAACTGCCCCAGATGCTTCAGGACGGATGAACAAACAGATGGAGCTCCTAGGTCCGATGGGGCCGCTCCCTATCCACTTCCTCCTCTTCCAGGAGTAAGGCGTCCAGCTCCTCCAGCCGCTGCTGCAGCAGAGGTTCCACATCTGGGCTGGGGGCCAGGCTGGGGGTAAAGGTCCTGCCAGCTGCAGCCCGGACCCCACGAGAGGGCCGCCGGGATCGAGGAAGGCTGCTGTCCCGAAATTCTACAGCCCGCCGAAGCTTCTTTGAGCTGGTGAAAATCAAAGTCCCGTTGCGCTCCCGGGGTTCCTCAAAGATGGTCTCAAAGGTCCTGGACCAGGCAGGGAGGGGTGCTGGTTACCAGCATGGCCCCTGGTTCCAGCCTTCCCTCTATCACCCCCAAGCCTTCAAAGTTTCTCACCTCCTGGTTGTAGGTGACTGATAATTCTTGTTGGTATAAATTTCTTCTAAGCTGAACTCCTTCTTGTTCAACCTGGGAGCAAAGAGCAGAGGCCATTGAAAAACCCAGGGCCACTGTACCCTGGAAAAAGGATAAGCAAGGCCTGGTCTATATTTCAGTTTCTGGGACACGCTACAGCCAGGAGTGCTGCCTAAGGCAGACAGACAGTTCTAAATGCAAACCATGTCCAGACCAGATTGACTCCTCCAAGCTGGATTGTGTTCCCTGAGAGGAGACAAAGCCACACTTCAGGGGATCTGAGCCTACAACCTGTTTGGCCAAGGCAGCTCCGTGTACACTGAGCCACTCACCTGATTGGTCGAGGCAGCCCCATTGGTGTAAGGTTGAGCTGAGGACGGGCTGGTGTCCTGCGTATTCTGAATCGAGAAACCTTTCCCATGGTCTGCAAAAATAGGGCAGAGGATAAGGGTGCAGCATGGCCTCAGGCTCCCACCTATCTCCTCCCCACATCTGTACTCCTACCTTGGTCTCAGGGTCTGAAAGCACCTGGTCCTCTGAGGCCCTTGGCTCCTTCCCCTTGGTTGAACCCAACCTGCAGAGAAGGTCAAGGTTCAGGGACAAATAACATTTATAGCAATATCCCCATCTCCTGCCCACTGGAAAACAGGAAAGGAGGCTGAGCCCAGACTGTGCCAGGGCTTTAAGAAGGGTTTATCGAGGGGCGCCTGGGTGGCTCAGTCAGTCAGTTAAGTGTCTTACTTCCGCTCAGGTCATGATCGGGGTCCTGGGACTGAGCCCCACGTCGGGCTCCCTGCTAGGCAGGGAGCATGCCTCTCCCTCCCCCCCACTTGTGCACATGCTCGCTCGCTCTCTCTCAAATAAATTAATAAAATCTTTAAAAAAAAAAAAAAAAGAAGGGTTTATCGAGAGCACTACCTGGGTTCTGCAGGTTCAGAGAAGGAGGAGGAAGATGCGGTAGACGAGCAAGATGTGACAAGGGGAGGAGAGCCTCCCACTCCTCCAAGAGGGAAGACCTCTTTCCGGAGACAGGGCCGAGGGGGTGGTGGGGCTCGGGCCATCTCTCCACCACCCACAGTGTGCCGCCGGGGCCGTGACCGGCTTGGCTGGTGTGGAGCAGGGGGCCAGCTGCAGGTATCTGGGCCAGGGGGCCCCAGATCAGGGCAGGAGTGGCTTCGGCCCAGAGAGGGCTTAGAGAGAGGTGCGGGGGGATTGTGGTCCTGGGCCCGCCACTGGCGGATAGGGGGCCGGGGACTGACAGATGCAGTGTCCTCAGTAGCCCCGGACTGCTCGGCCTCTGAAATGGCAATCTTCAACTCCAACTTCATGGGGGGTGATGGGGGTGGGGGCCGTGGGGCTTTGTTGGGTGTGAGGAAGATATCAGCAAAGCTCTCCAGCTTGGAGCGGACGGAACGGAAGAGGGGGGCCAAGCCCCAGGGACTGAGGCGGGGGCGTAAAAGGCTGGACGGCGGTGGGATCGATGGGGGCTCCAGTACAGGATCCCGGGCTGAGGAAAAGGAGAGGCTCAGGTGGGCATTCCTCGGCTGCAAGTGCCTAAGCCCTACTTCAGTAGCTTCAGCCCCTCCCCCTAACACTAAGCTTTGCCCACAGAGGTAGAAGCCCACACCTTAAATACTGAGCCCTAAATTTAGGAGTTGAACGTCAGGCCTCTGAAGTCTATACCCCAACTTCACACACCAAACTGCCCTCAGGGAGGGAGATAAGCCTCACCCCCCGCCCCTGCCTTGCCCCTGCCCCTTTTAAGCTCAGCCAGGATTTTCCAGAGCCCTAAATCTCATCCCTCTGAGTCCTTACCTGGTGATGGGGTCTCTGGAGGGTCTTCAGGCAGGGCAGATGGCTGGAACGGGGGATCCAGGTCCCCGGACGGAGGCATTGACTGGTGAACAATCGTCATGGGCTCAGCTCTGGGGTGAAGGGGCAAAGTAAAGGCTGAGGGAGCTCCCAGGTTCAGATCCCACCTGAGCCAGCACCTCCCCTGTCCCTTAAGGCTTCAGAAGGTGCTACAAGGAAGAACTGGACAAGTAAATTCTTGATGCCCTTAGCTCTAGCTGCCTGGACATTTCGGTAATCCCTTCCCCAGCCCTCTTACCTTCTTGCTGGGATGAGGAAGTTGGGAGTCTCATCAGCAAAGCCCTGGATGTAAACAAAGGATGTTCTGGGGGAGGCAGGGAAGCCCCCTACGGCCTCCCTAGCTCCCCACATTCTGACCCTCTCAAGTGTCCAGAAGCCTGCCAGGGTTCACACCAAAGACTTTTTCATATAGGTCTTTCCTCAGCATGTTCCATCTAAAATGCTGTTCTCCTTGCTCTGAGCAAAACTCATCCCAGCTGAACCCCTGACATCCTTACCCCCAAATTCTCATACCTCAGCTGGGGGTCTTGGGCTGGCAATGTCTTCTAGCATCACCACCAGAGTGGGCTGGGGGGTCCAGTCCACCTTTTGTGAAGGGCCCTCCTCTGGGCCAGGGGTTGTTCTTGATCGCCGCCTCAGGGTGGAAGAGGGCCGGTGGATGCGGCTCAAGGGCTCTCGGCATAAGCGCAGTGGGTCGGGAGGCCTAGAGTGGAAACAGGAGGATCAATGGGGCTCCGGTATGCCCCTGGTTTACCCTCCATCCCGCCATGCTCACCTGGTCTGTGAGGACCACGTGGCCTGTTGGGGAGGCAAGGCAGGTGGCTGGCTGCGGACAGAATCCCGTTGGTTGCTGCGGTGCCGTGGGGTGTTGGTCTCTTCTTGGGGCACCAGGGGAACCTAATTGAGGAGGAAGTGTCAAGAACAAGGTGATGAAATGAGGTCAGACTGGACAGGGCCTCCCTGAGCCTAACAGTGCTGTATGCCACAAAAGTGACAGAGATTATGGCTAGAATTCACTTAAGAACCCACAGAAGTGCGTTGGACTGAATCAGTTCCAGGGCCAGATATTACAGCATCCTGAGCAGCAGTAATCTCAGCCAGGCTGTTTGGAGAAATGAAAAGGAGTGACCTTGGGTGAGTCACTGCCCTATTTGGGGCCTGCTTTTCTAACCTGTGCAATGGAGCCAAAGACCTCAGCCTGCTTCCCAAGAATTGCCTAGACGTTGGGTTGGGAAGAAAGCAAGGGTTTCTCATACTTAAGAGTTGTAGAGATGTGGTTCCAGCCCAATAGGGTTGATGGTGGGGAATGGGCACTAGAGACCCTGCCCAAATCTAGATTGGATTAAGTGAGAGCCAAGTAGGACTCTAGCATTAGGGAGGCTGCCTAGCAATGGATGTGAGAATGAGATATTTGGATCTCAATTATCCTCACTAGTGATCTGGTCTGACTTTGGTACTGAAGAGGGGCCTGAGGGAGAAGGGGGCCTCTCAGTTCAGGGGGCTCACCATGTGGGCAGCCATAACATCTTCCAGCACCACAGCCAAAACCCGCCGAGAGGCCTTTTCCAAAGGTGAAGGGGTCGCTAGAGACTGCAGTCTCGGCCGTTTGGGGCTCCTGGCTCCCCATAATGCTCGAGCCAGAGGCTGGCGGCACAGACGTGGCCGGCCAGGTGGACTGGAGGATGAGAGAAGCAGAGGACGGTCGCCTGAGCCTGTCGTTGGCTCTGTGGTTTCCCCAGTACGGCCGCTAGGCTCCCCGTTTCCCGTGCTCAAGACAGGCGGGCGGGGTGCGCTCTCACCTGGAGTCCCCGGGCAAGTCCATGGGGGAAGCGGCGGCTCCGGGGAGTCCCTGGGGGATCCCAGGCTGCAGCCTGGGATGGGGGGGGAGCGGGGGAGCGGGGAGTGAGGGCCAGCCCCTCCCCTGGGGCTCCGCCCTTCATGGTCCGCCCGCGGCTCCCGGTAGCCCACGGGCCGAAGCCCTGGGGCGTGAAAGGGCGCCCCCGGCTGGCCGCCCGGAGCGGATGTCTTCCCGCTGGAGTCGCCCGAGATCAGTGGATCACCCGCGCCCTGACTGGCACTTGCCGGGAGAACCTGGCTTGCAGAGGCCCCAGTGAGCTTCTGGGGCCTTTGTCCCTGCAGAATCCGCCCTGAGATCTCCCGGGATCGGCTGGGATCCCGGTCCTGGGAGGCTCACTTTCCGCCGGATCCCTCTGTAATCCTCATCCACTGCCAGCGAGTGGCCAAGAACTCCGAAGCAATACTCCCACACACCGACGGTCCCCCCTCCCCGCCACACCAGATCCCCTAGACTAGATCCCTGCGGAAAGAATCCTACAGCGCGGTTCCTCCAATGAGACGCCGCGAGGATCCTCCTCTCCCTGTGAGTTTGGGCTCCGCAAAGCTCCACTCAGACAGGGGCGGCCCGAGCTTGAGCATCACGAACTCAGTCCGGATCCCCGGGGATCCACTGTCAAGCAGATACCCCCTTCACTCCAATCCCGGGAGGTCCCGCCCACAGACCCCCTCCTTCCCCCCTCCCCGGCTCCCCGCCCCGCGCTCTCCCCAGCCCGGGACCAGATGGTTCAAATGTTTCCTTCCCTCCCTCCTCCCGCCCTCTCTCCAGCCGCTCGGTGCCCTCCCCCGCGCGCCGCTCACCGCCGCCTCCCGCGGATCCCGGGTCTTCTACGGCTCCCACCTCCGGCTCCTTTAAAACTAGCCTTAGCCAGCACTGCCCAACCGCCGAGGGCCTTCTTCTCCGAGCCCTCGGGCACCGCCCAATCGCCGGCCCGGGTCTTCCGGGGTGGTGAGAAACTAAGTGAAGCCACCTGGCAGCCATCTTCCCTAGGGGCGAGAAGCCAAATTGGGCAGCGCCGCCATTATAGTTGAGGGCAGGTAGATCTGTACCCGATGAACCGAAGTGGACCGGATGGTGTCATTTTGTGAAGGCCAGTCAGTCAGTGGCTGAACACTAGGCCAAGTTTCTTGAGCTGCTGAGGCAGCTGTAGTGAATGGAGTGCCGCCACGTTTTTTAAGGGCATCTTCCGGTTTTTTAGTTCTTAGGCCAATAAACGTGAACTGAATACTAACGACTTGTGAAATTCCCAGTTTCCTAGAGAGGCCTCACTGAGGGCGGTTCCGGTACCCTCCGGGAATCCTCAAGCAGGTCCCCAGGTCGCTGAGAAGATTTTGGGGCGGGACTAGGAGCCGGAGACTAGGGATAGTGCCACCTCCGGCCCCAGTGTTTGCGCGACGTCCCGGAGAGCCCGGGCTGAGCCAAAACTGGGAGGAGGCTGGGGGCGTTGACTTTCTTCCTGGAGTTGTGGGGGTTTGTGTGGCCCGCGCCGAGGGCTCAGTATAGGGGCGTCATTGCAGGGCACCAGTAAACCACCTTGAATTGCTCGGTGGTGGTCGGCAGCTTTCCTGAGTTCCGGGCTCCCACGAGCCCTGTTTCAAGGGAAACAGTCCTTAGTAATAGTAGTAGTCGTAATAGTAGTAGACTTTAGTATTAAGGGATCGGGGGTGGAATCCCGCTGCTTGAGAGGCTGTATCATGAAACGTTTAAACTGGAGCTGGGCTACTGGTGGGGAGGAAGTGGGCATGCACGAACTTCTTGCACTGTGAAGGCGCCCCCACCGCCAAACCAGAGCCTGCGCTTCCACTGGTTCTCCTTCCCCAGAATTCTCTGGTCCAAACCTGTACTTATTTTCTTGGTGGAACAAGAAAGCCTGAAGCCTAGAATCCTGGGTCTGAGATGAAGGTGCAGAGTACCCAGCCCAGCAGAATTCTCTCTTCTGGGACTTAGTGCTGAAAGTAATGACACAGAGAGGATGATATGGAAAGAGCAAAATCCGTAAGAGCTGGTGTGGAAAGTGAAGACTCCTCCCCAGCTCTGCAAGCAAGGACTTATCCAGATAGCTCTCCCAGGACTACAGCCAACTCTTTGTAACACAAGGCCTGCAGGGACCTCTGGAAATCCATGATGAGACTTCTGATGAGGGTAGGCAGCAGCTCTTCCAGCTAGAGGTGTTCTCTCCCCTGGATCCCGGCTGGCTGTATGGTGCCTGAAGATGTTCCTTAGGGGTATGGTGATGCTTCCAGCTGTGAGTTCTTGGAGAACCTTCTCAACCTTGGTGAGTTGAGAGCCCCTCTGCAGGCTCTCACTTTTCTCTCTTTTTTTTTTTTTTTTAAAGATTTTATTTATTTATTTGACAGAGACATAGAGAGAGAGCACAAGTAGGCAGAGTGGGAGGCAGAGGGAGAGGGAGAAGCAGGCTCTCCGCTGAGCAGGGAGCTGGACGTGGGGCTCGATCCCAGGACCCCAGGATCATGACCTGAGCCGAAGGCAGCCGCTTAACCGACTGACCCACCCAGGCGCCTCTCACTTTTCTCTTAAACAGGTGCTTCCTAAGCCCCAGGGCAAGAAAAGCTTTCAAGGGCAGAGCATGCCTGATGAGAGTTTTGATTCTTTGGGTATCCTGAAGAAATCAACACGAAGGACAAAGGAAGTAGCCTAAGGAAAGGGCCTGGGCCTGAGAATCTGGTAGGGAGGGCGCAGCCCTAAGACCCTAAGTTGGGGCATTGGAGTTCATCCAATTGAAGTCTAATGTAGACTGGGGTGTCTTGGCCCTACGCCCAGGCCACTAATGGTGAGCCTAAGAGCCTCACGGTCTCACCTCTGCCTTCTTTGTGACGACCATTTCAACAACTCTTTCCTTACCCACCACCTGTGTACATGCTCTAGGGCATGACCAGTGTGTGTGGATCCAGTGGCAGGAGGCCCCACGTAGCTTTCAGTGGGGCAGGTGATGTGGCTGGAGATTGACACATGGATGTTTCATTCTCCGGAAACTCTGGGCCCCTTTAGACTCTGGGCCTCACTTCTGCTTAACTGTTCCGGGCCTCAGTGGCCTCACTTGTAAAATGGGAACAATAAACGCTGTCATGCCTATCTCAAAATCGACTTGAAAGATCAAGATCAAATGAGAAGTCACATCTGAATGTGCCTGATAAATTAAGTCTCGGGTTACAGGCAAAATGCAGGTGATAAAACTATCTCTTCTTTCTCTCAGAGTACACTATCCTTTCTGGCCCTCGAGCCAGCTCTGGTCAGTACCTTTGTCTGCAGAGGCTTCTAGGCTGAGCTCCGGATCAGCCAGGGTAGGGCAGGTTGGGTTGGGTTGTGGCTGCAGGGTATGGGGAGGGGTGTGATGGTCAGCTAGAGCTCCTTTGCTAAGAACCGCCCCTGAAAAATGACAGGAAGCTTTGAGTTTGGGTTGCTGGTCTGGTTGGCATCAACCATTTAACAAGATTTCAACACCTCCTACATGCTGTGCCTGGGGATAGACGGGTGCTTACCCCCAGGAAGTTGGAGTTTACGTCCCTGTATACAAAATTGGCATTGACTGCTACTTCCCGCAGCTTCAGCTCTCTTTCCCCTTAAAGGGCTTGTCCCAGCCAGGTGTCAGCAATTCCTGATCAATTTAATTCCCCAGGTGAGGAGCTTTCAAGACCCACCTCTGGGGGCTTTCCACTCTGGTCAGCTACTATGAGTTGCCAGAATTTATATTGGTCTGAGAAAGCTGGTCCTGCCTCTGGTCTAACTCCGCTTGCCCAGTTAGAGAGCCACCTGCCACTGGTACTTTATTTGTCTCCTTTTTCTTTTTCTTTCTTTCTTTCTTTCTTTTCTTTTTTTTCTTTCTTTTTTTCTTTTTTTGAGGGAGAGATGATAGGAAGGTGTCAAGTTTAGACGAACTGAATGATAAAGTGATAGGGCTTATGGTGAGATGGGGAGAAGGTTGAGGAAAGTAGAGAGAAAATCAAGAAGGGTGAAGGGAGATGTCCATTAATATCTGAAACAATAGAATGTCGCTATACCAGTTGCCAATTTATTACCTTTCAGCTCCAAATTCATTCTTCTTGCCTCCTCTGTGAAAAGGGATCTGAGCCCTTTAAATATATTTTATTTGCCAACTGGCAAGACAGCTGGGGAGCCATTGCAGAAAAAAAGGGGTTTGCTTCCTGGTTCCAGTGAGCCCTATTGGCAGGCTCCTGGGGTACAAGTGGGTTCCCCTGCTCCCAGGTTCTGAAATGCAGGCAGCTTCTCCAGTGCCAGGCTCCTGGCGGGCCCAGTGGCCAGCAGCTCCCCCGGTATATTCCTTGGACGGTTCTCTGCTGGAATGCCTCTGAGACACCTTCCCGTGAACAGTTTTCCCTGGCTTCCCGGCAAGTTTCCCTGATTTCCAGCAAGTTCCACCAGCAACTTCTGTGCTCTCTCCAAAAAGTTCTGGATCTCACCCCAGGGAGGCCCAGGTAGAGGCTATTCCTTGAGTGCTATATCCCCAGCTGGGGTAGTGATTTCTTACATCTGCTATTCCCGCATTCTTTAGAATCTTTACTTCCTATTATCTGTAGGGGGCAGAATGGTGTTCCCCCACCTCAAATATATGTTCAAATCCTAACCCCCAGTTCCTGTAACTGTGACCTTATTTGGAAAAAGAATCTTTGAGGATATAAGTGAGGTCATATTGGATTAGGGTGGGTGCTGATCCAATGACCGGTGTCCTTGTATGAAGAAGGAAATTTGGACACAGATAGGAAGGAGAATGCCATGTGAAGGCATGCACAGAGACACAGGAAGATGCCATGTGGCGACAGAGGCAGAGACTGGAGTGATGCGTCTCCAAGCCAAGGAATGCCTGAGATTGCTAACAATCGCCAGAAGCTAGGAAGAGGCAAGGAAGGTTATTATTACCTGGGATCTCAGAGGGAGTGTGGTCCTGTCGTTGCCTTGATTTTGGATTTCCAGTCTCTGGAACTATGAGAGAATAAATTTGTGTTGTCTTAAGCCACCTGGTTAGTGTAACTTGTTAGGGCAGCCCTGGGAAACTAATACACATTCCATTCCCTCATTTCTCTACCCTGTTATAGTTGATAATTGTTTGTTTTTTTTTTTTAAGATTTTATTTTTAAGCAATCTCCCCACCCAGTGTGGGGCTCGAACCCACAACCCTGAGATCAAGATCTGCATGCCCCACTGACTGAGCCAGCCAGGTGCCCCAATAATTCTTCTGTTTTTTTTTTTAAGATTTTATTTATTTATTTGAGATAAAGAACAAGACAGAGCATGAGTGGGGGGGAGGGGCAGAAAGCAGACTCCCCACTGAGCAGGGAGCCCAACATGGGGCTGGATCCCAGGACCCTGGGATCATGACCTGAGCGGAAGGCAGACGCTTCACCAACTGAGCCACCCAGGTGCCCCTGCCCCAATAATTTTGTAGAATAAACTTGTCCTTGTTCAAATTACTGTGTACTTTCCCTCTCCTGATTGGACGTAGACTTACGCTGTCACCAACAAAAATACTAGTGTTATAGCATTAAATAAAACAGAAGATCTGAGAGTCCCTACTGTAATTACATGCAGATACTTGAGAGAGTAGGCCGTTTTCAAGAGAGGCTTAAAGTTTGCATTGCAGACATATTCCATAAAGGCATTTTGAATGCTCCTTTCACACTTGAGGAGAAAAAAGAAGGAAAGAAAGGAAGAAAATGAGCACAGATGGTGCCTGTGAGAACAGTTGGCTCAGCTGGAATGGAGGAAGTTGAGCTGGACAGCCGCCATGTTGTCTAAAGGCAATCCCTGGCATCCTCTGGTTTCAGATGAAGGTCAGCTTTAGACAGCATTCAGGAAACAAGTGTAGGTAGAGGTTTCTGGAAATGACTGTGCTTGGTGTTGCAGGCTGGGAAGGCCGAGGGACAGTGATACTCAGGGCTAGAGTGACAATGTTGGGGCAGGGAGGTCCGTCACACACACACACACACACACACACACAGAGATTCACATCTCCATGATCTTTCCTTCAGAGAAAGAGGCCTAGATGGGGGACAGCAAGGGCCCTGGCTGGTGGAGAAGGCTCTAAATATGGGCTAAGGTGTCCATTTATTTGCTCAACACATTTTTTGAATCCCAAGCACATACCAGACACAAAAGCTACCATGGTGAATGAGACAGAGAGAGACAAGTAAATAGACACAGAGCATAGTGAGATAAATGCTGAACTCAACTTGTGTACAGGTTCCTGAAAGAGCACAGAAGCAGAGCTGGAGAAGGAGACTTCTCTGAGAAAGTGATGAATCATCTGAGAATTGAAGGAAAAGGGGTCAGGAAGGGAGACTTTCCCTGGATTACCTCAACTGTGCAAAGGGCTAGAGGGCAAACTCAGGCTGCAAACAATTTGGTCGGCAGCCTATCAGAACTACTGCTTGCCTTTTAGAATATTTTGAATGCTCCTTTTACTACGATGAAATGAATGGAGAAGTAACACATTTACAGTGCTACTTTTATTTTCTTTTATTTTAAAAGATTTTTATTTGAGAGAGAGAGGCAGAGGGAGAGGGAGAAGCAGGCTCCCTGCTGAGCAGATGCGGGGCTCGATCCCAGGACCCTGAGATCATGACCTGAGCTGAAGGCAGACGCTTAACTGGCTGAGCCACTCAGGTGCCCCCAGTGCCACGTATAAAAATGCAATATAATCCTCACTATAAAAGACAAAGTCATTTATTTTAAAATGTGTATCCAATCGTATAATATAATAATTAAATACATAATTTAGAATCAAAATTACAATTACAGGCAACGATATGAATTTTAGAAGGAAAAGAATCCAGACACAAAAGAACATATATATATATATGTGCATATATGTATATATATATAGTGTGATTCCATTTGTATTACATTTAAAAAGAGGCAAAACTAGGGGTGCCTGGCTGGCTCAGTCAGAGGAGCTTGCGACTCTTAACCTTGAGGTTGTAGAGATTAATAAAAAAATAATAAACTTAAAAATATATATTTAAGGAGTCCCTGGGTGGCTCAATCGGTTAAAGTATCCGACTCTTGGTTTCAGCTCAGGTCATGATCTCAGGGTCCTGGGATCGAGCCCCACGTCGGGCTCTGCACTTGGCATGGAGTCTGCTTGTCCCTCTCTCTCCCCCTCTGTGCCTCCCCCAGCTTGCGGCTCACTCGCGCTCTCTCCCTCAAATAAATAAATAAATCTTTAAAAAATATATATATATAATTTTTTTTAAAGAGGCAAAACTATAATGTTAGAAATCAGACTAGTAACCTTGGGAAGGACAGTGACTGGAAGGTGCATGGGAGGGTCTAGGGTGCTAGAAATGTTTTGGTTTCTTGATCTGGGTAGTGGTTATGTGGATGTATTCACTTTTGTGAAAATTCATTGAGCTTACACTTAAGAATTGTGCACATTTCTGTATTATATTATTCTTTAAAAAATTAAATAATGTATATCGCAATATGTAAATGCTTGGGGAGGGCTTTGTCATAAGATTTAGTGAAGTGGTCATAATGAAGTCATCATACGCGTGCATCTGCATACAGGATCTCTATGAATTCAGCAGCTACAAGCTCATACTCAAATTCAAGTGGGCCCATCTGTGCCATGATTTTCCAAAATGGCAAATAATTCTTGGTGAAATTCCAAACAAAACAAAATACAAGCTTCCCTTGGTATATAAAGGTGTCTGCCTCTCTGGAAAAGTGAGGATTAAAACTACTCTTTTTGCGGTGCCTGGGGGTCTCAGTCATTAAGCGTCTGCCTTTGGCTCAGGTCATGATCCCAAAGTCCTGGGATTGAGCCCCACATCAGGCTCCCTGCTCAGTAGGGAGTCTGCTTCTCCCTCTGCCCCTCACCCTGCTCATCTTCTCTCTCTCTTTCAAGTAAATAAATCTTTGAAAAAAACCCTGTGCTCCTTTTTAAAACGGTTTTTTAAAAAGTTTTATTTAAGTAATCTCTACACCCCATGTGGGGCTTAAACTCATGACCCCAAGATCAAGAGTTACATGCTCTTCTGACTGAGCCAGCCAGGTACTCCAGGATTAGAACTATACTTATAAATGTGTGTTTATATATAAAATGGATTTAGGTTCTGTACTTGCATAATTATAAATGTGTTTTGACCTAATGAATGTCCATGAATCATTCTGAAAATGGTGGAGGACAAGGGACATGTTTTTCATTGAACAAGGCTGTCTGCTATCATGTAGGACAACTGATATCCCTGGGTCCACCCATTAAATGCCAATAGGTCCTCCATCACTGTGACCAAAAAATGTCCCCACAAATTCACAGAACACTCCCTAGGGGGTAGCACTGTCCCCTGTTTAAAGCCACTGGTTTGGGCGCCTGGGTGGCTCAGATGGTTAAGCGTCTGCCTTCGGCTCGGGTCATGATCCCAGGGTCCTGGGATCGAGTCCCACCTCGGGCTCCCAGCTCGGCGGGGAGCCTGCTTCTCCCTCTGACCCTCTCCCCTCTCGTGCTGTTTCTCTCTCGCTCGCTCTCTAAAAAATAAATAAAATCTTAAAAAAAACCCCAAACAAACAATAAAGCCACTGGTTTAGGGCCACAGATTTAGGGCATAAAGATCAGCAACTTGTGGGGGGAGCGCCTGGGTGGCTCAGTCCTTAAGCGTCTGCCTTCGGCTCAGGTCATGGTTCCAGGGTCCTGGGATCGAGCCCCGCATCGGGCTCCCTGCTCCGCGGGAGGCCTGCTTCTCCCTCTCCCACTCCCCCCTGCTTGTGTTCCCTCTCTCGCTGTGTCTCTGTCAAAAAATAAATAAAATCTTAAAAAAAAAAAAAAGATCAGCAACTGGGGAGGGATGCTCAAAGAAGTGGAAGGTGAAAAGATTATTTAGAGCTCAGTGAAAGTCAGCTTAGTTGGAGAAAAAATGTAGTGGGGGGGATAAAGGTGGGACTAATCTTGTAATCCATAACGATTTGTTAAGTGAGTCCGAGGACAAATGAGCGAGTGGAAGCTTGCAGGTAATAAGAAACTATTGACTTTTAAAATTCACTTCTTGGGGGGCGCCAGGGTGGCTCAGTCGTTAAGCGTCTGCCTTCGGCTCGGATCATGATGCTGGGGTCCTGGGATCAAGTCCCGAATCGGGCTCCCTGCTCCGCGGGAAACCTGCTTCTCCCTCTCCCACTCCCCCTGCTTGTGTTCCCTCTCTCGCTGTCTCTCTCTGTCAAATAAAATCTTTAAAAAAAAAAAAAAACAACCTCTAAAATTCACTTCTTGGGGTGCCTGGGTGGCTCAGTTGGTTAAATCTGCCTTCAGCTCAGGGCATGACCTCAGAGTCCTGGGATCGAGTCCCGCGTTGGGCTCCCTGCTCTGCGGGAAGTCTGCTTCTTCCTCTCCCTCTGTTCCTCCCCTTGCTTGTGCATGCACTCTTTCTCAAATAAATAAAATCTTTAAAATAAGTAAATAAGGGGCGCCTGGGTGGTTCAGTCGTTGAGCATCTGCCTTCGGCTCAGGTCATGATCCCAGGTCCTGGGATCGAGCCCTGCATTGGGCTCCCTGCTCAGCAGGAAGCCTGCTTCTCCCTCTCCCACTCCCCCTGCTTGTGTTCCCTCTCTCGCTGTGTCTCTCTGTCAAATAAATAAATAAAATCTTAAAAAAAAAATAAAATAAGTAGATAAAATTCACTTTTTATTTTTTAAAGATTTTACTTATTTGACACAGAGAGAGAGAGAGAGCAAGCTGGGGGTGGGGAGAGGCAGGAGAGGGAGAAGTGGACTCTCCACTGAGCAGGGAGCTCTACACAGGGCTGGATCCCAGGACTCTGGGATCATGACCTGGGCTGAAAGCAGATGCTTAACCAACTGAGCCACCCAGGCGCCCCTAAAATTCACTTCTTAATACATTCACATGGTTTATATTTTTTAAATAATTTTCTAGTCAGTCCTAGTCCCCTTTAGGAAATCATTCTTATTAGATTCTTATCTATCCTCCAGAGTTTCTTTGTGCATATAAAAGCAAATGTCCAATCTACTATTCTTCTGCCTGCCTTGTTTATACTTAAAAGGTAGCATTCAACACACACCGTTCTGCTCTCACCCATACATCCAGAAGCTTTTTCCTCCGCAGTGCGTAGAGCACTTCTGTGTTATTTTCAACAGCTGCCTACTTGGTCATTGTGTGACTATACCACAGTTTCTTTAATCACTCTCGTATTGATCGGATTTAAGTTGTTTTCTACGTTTCAGTACTATAAACAATGCTTCAATGATAACCTTTACATATGTGTCACTTAGCACCTGTGTTTTATAGTGGAGATTTTTAAAAAAAAGATTTTATTTATTTAACAGAGAGAGACACAGCGAGAGAGGAAACACAAGCAGGGAGAGTGGGAGAGGGAGAAGCAGGCCTCCCGCTGAGCAGAGAGCCCGATGCGGGGCTTGATCCCAGGACTCTGGGATCATGGCCTGAGCCAAAGGCAGCTGCTTAACTGACTGAGCCACCCAGGTGTCCCTATAGTGGAGATTTTTGAAGAAGGACAAGACAAAATTAAGATGATGTTTTAGGAAGATTTAGCAACTCCTGTGCAAGATGAGTTTGGGAATAGGTATATATGGGGGCAAGTTATTAAAATAGGCTAGATATAATTGGGAGGGGGGTGTGGTGATTTTACAAGTATATCCATTGATTCTTAGAATCTTCTCCCCTCAGAATTGGAGCCTAATTCCCTCCTCTTGAGTATGAGCTGGACCTAGACCTCGAATCTAATAAATGGAAGAAAGCAGAACTTACAATGTGTGACTTTGGGGACCAGATCATAAAAAGACACCCTCTTTTGCTCTATCCTGGATCACTTGCTCTGGGGGAAGCCAGATGACATGTTGTAAGTAGCTCTATGGAATCCTATATAGAGACCCACTTGGAAGAAACTGAGGCCTCCTGCCAACAGCCACGTCAGTGAACTTGGAAGCAAATCCTTCAGGCCCTTTCAAGCCTTCAAATGGCTGCAGACCTGGCCAACATCTTGCCTGCCACCTCATGAGAGACCCTGACCTACAGCCATCCAGCTAAGCCTCTCCCAAATTCCTGATACATGGAAACCGAGATGATAACTCTTGTTGTTAAGCTACTAAATTTTGAGGCCATGTATTATACACAGGTAGAATGATGGGAATGGAAAAGAAAGCGAGGGTAAAGCAATCATCTGGAAGTATCTCTTACTTCTGTTTATTAGAAATTATTATTATTATTATTTTTAAAGATTTTATTTATTTATTTGACAGAGAGAGAGAGACAGCGAGAGCAGGAACACAAGCAAGGGGAGTGGAAGAGGGAGAAGCAGGCTTCCCGCCGAGCAGGGAGCCCGATGTGGGACTCGATCCCAGGACCCTGGGATCATGACCTGAGCCGAAGGCAGACGCTTAACGACTGAGCCACCCAGGCGCCCTATTAGAAATTATTTATACTCTCCCCTTGCAATGTAAACTTCTTGAGGAGAGGATCTTTGCCTACCTTTTCACTGGTTTATCTTTTTTTTTTTTTTAGATTTTACTTATTTATTTGAGAGAGAGAGAGAGAGTGAGCGGTGCAAGCAGAGGGAGGGCAGATGGAGAGGGAGAGAGAGAATCTCAAGCAGATGCCACACTGAGCACGGAGTCCGAAGCAGGGCTCGATCTCATGACCCTGAGATCATGATGTGAGCCGAAACCAAGAGTCAGACATTCAACCAACTGAGCCACCCAGGTGCCCCTTCACTGATTTATCTTAAGCTTCTAGTATATAACAGACTCTCAGGATTGGCAGGGAAAAGCCATGAAAAAGAAGGGGTCAGATATCAGTAGGTCTGATATGCCAGTAACAGGAGTGAAGTGTAATTGAATAGTCAATTAAAATATCTAGAGGGGCGCCTGGGTGGCTCAGTCGGTTAAGCAACTGCCTTCGGCTCAGGTCATGATCCTGGAGTCCCGGGATCGGGTCCCGGGTCAGGCTCCCTGCTCGGCGGGGAGTCTGCTTCTCCCTCTGACCCTCCTCCCTCTCGTGCTCTCTGTCTCTCATTCTCTCTCGCAAATAAATGAATAAAATCTTTAAAAAAATAAAATAAAATAAAATATCTAGAAAAAGTAACAAGCAGCCAGTTTGATGTGGAGGCCTAGAGGAGGACTTCTCCACCTCCGCACTGTTAATAGTTTGGACCAGATTCTTTTTTGTTGTGAGGAGCATGGTAAGATGTTTAGTAGACGTAGTCCTAACCTCTACCCACTAGAAGTCACTAGCACACACACCACCTCCCTGTCCTCCTCTCCCTGCCACCACCCTCCCTCCTCAAAACCAAAAAATATCTCTAGACATTGCCAAGTGTTCCCGGGGAAGGGGAATCACCCCCCAATCCCCAGTTGGGGATCACTGTCCTAGAGGATAGAATGACAATTGAACCCAAGGGAAAGGGGTTGGATCCCTGAATCCTGGGGAAATGCACTTTAAAAATGAAGATTGTCAGGGTACCTAGCGGGCTCAGTCAGAAGAGCATGTGACTCTTGATCTCTGGGTCATGAGTTCAAGCCCCACGTTGGGTGCAGAGATTACTTATAAATAGATAAATAAACTTTAAATTTTTAAAAAAATAAATAAATAAAGAGGAGGGCTGTGGGGCACCTCGTGGCTCAGTGAGTTAAGTGTTGGACTCTTGATCTCAGCTCAGGTCTTGATCTCAGGGTTGTGAGTTTAAGCCCCGTGTTGGGCCCCACACTGGGTATGGAGCCTACTTAAAATTAAAAAAAAAGAAGAAGACTGACAAAAGACAGAAGAGCCAGAAAAGTAAAACCAAAACAAAACAAAAAGGGATTCAGAAGCCAATGAAAGCAAGTGGCAGAGTGTTTTAATGAGGTAGTTGGCAGGACTTGGGAGAGAATTGTTTTAATGGAATCGCGTGACAAAACCCTGTTGCAGTGTGTCTGTGCGTGCTTGTGTACAACTAGGTGAGACAGGTCATGAAAAAGTAGATGCAGTCTGGTAGCTAGCAACAAGAAAGCGACCAGGCAAATATGGAACAACATGGTCAAAAGCAGAGAGAAAGAATCAGAGAGGGTGAGGCTGCAGGGAAATTGGGAAGAGAGAAAGCAAAGGTGTATTCCACCGCCATTCTTCATTCCTGGAGGGTCTTGAAAAGGACAGAGTATCAATCTTTCCCCTTCTCAAGAGGGAAAGAGGATGTTTGTTGAAGGAAGGAAGAAGGGAACAGAGCCCTAAACAAATTAAGTTGGAGAAAAGCATGAAATGGGATCTGGACCCTACCCTTAGCTTCCTCAGACTAATTTCAAGAGATTGGCTTCCTGGATTGGGAGCCCTAAGAATTTTCTCTTGCAGCACCTGGCTGGCTCAACTGGAAGAGTATGTGACTCTTGATCTCTGGGTCTCAAGTTTGAGCCCCATTTGGGGCATAGATGTAAATAAATAATACTTTAAAAAAATAAAAAGTCAATTTAAAAAAGAATTTTCTAAACAGTATGAGACCATGGCATTCTTTTAGAACACAGTAGACCACAGAAGGTTCTGGAAAGGATATTCCTGTGCATTTCTACTACTCTTCCATGAGTTAAGACCCCTGTTTACTCTGATGTGAATGAACAAAAGCAAAAACCTCTTTTCACCTCCAGGTTCTCCTCTTCCAAATCTTAAAACCATATAACTCCCTTGCTCAAGAACATTTAATACCTCCCTGCCACCTACAGTGTAAGGACCAAAATTCTTGTTTCATTTTCAGAGAAAGGGATTCCTCCCTTTTCTAGGGCTGCTGTAACTAAGTACCATAAACTGGTTTATGGTTTCAAACAACAGAAATCTATTCTCTCACAACAGAAATTTATTCTCTCACAGTTTTGGAAGCTAGAAATCCAAAATCGAGGTCCCAGCTGGGCCATGTTCCCTCTGAGACCCTGATCAGAATTTGCTTCTTCCCAGCTTCTGATGGTGGCCACCAATCCTTGACATTCCTTGGCCTGCAGCTGCGTCATTATAATCTCTGTCCTGTCATCACATGGCATTCTCTTTGAGTCTGTCATTGGGTGTCTGTTTTCCCTTCTTATAAAGACACCAGCCACTGGGGCACTTGGCTGGCTCAGTCGGTACAGCATGCCTCTCTTGATCTTGGGGTCGTGAATTCAAGTGCCAAGTTGGGCATAGTGCTTACTTAAATAAATAAATAAACAAACAAGTTCTATTAGATTAGGGCCCACTCTAATTGGGTGTGAGCTCATCTTAACGGGATTACATTTACAAAGACCCTATTTTCAAATAAAGTCACATTCTGAGCTGTTGGGGATTAGGACTTGAACATTTCTGGGGACATTTGCAAAAACTCTCCCTCAGATACTCTACACTAGAGCCAAAGTGATCTAATTATTACCATGCTATGAATCCTATGCTTTCCCACCCTCTCCCAGGCCATCGTCATGTCTCTATTTGTCCATCCTTGAAGGCCCAGATCAAATGGCACCTCTTCCCTGAAGGCTTCTTCAAGTGCCTTCCTCTGATCTTCTAGGGTATTTCTCACTGTCCCTTCTGCCCTGCATTTATTTGTGTTCCTTTCTAAAATGCTGCTCAACTCAAAGAACTGGATGGAGGACAAATTAGATAATACACGGGGAAGTTTTGGAATACTAGAGTGTGCTCAAATTTTAGCGAGGTGACAAAGAACTTTCACACACTTTAAAACAGCTTTACTGAGGTAGAGCTCACCTACCACATAATTCACCTCTTCGAAGAGTGCAATTCGAAGGCATCCTATTAGCATCATTACAACCTAATTTTAGGACATTTTCATCACTCCCAAAAGAAACTTCATATCCATTCACTGTCACTTTCTATTTCCCAACCCCCCTCCCCAGCCCTTCTTCTACAGATCCGTTTATTCTGGACATTTCATATAAACCTTCACACATTTTAATTTGACTCCCACAAGGACTTCTCTTCATGGGAATTTTTTTACAATGATCTTTGGGGATCAACACCCCTATTTTTCAGGAGTAAACTGACTTGTTGAGGATGTGTAAAACCTAAACTTGCACATGGATTTCGGATTTGCTGCATAGAGGAGATGCTATCTTTTTTTTTTTTTAGATTTTATTTATTTATTTGAGAGAGAGACAGACAGAGATAGTGAGAAGAGAGCATGAGCAGGGAGGAGAGAAGCAGGCTCCCACGTGGGACTCTATCCCAGGACCCTGGGATCATGACCTGAGCCGAAGGCAGATGCTTAACGGACTGAGCCACCCAGGTGTCCCAGAGGAGCTGCTATCTTGAGCTCCGGAGTGGGAAGGCCGCGGTCCTCCATCCAGCAGCCCCGTTGGAATCGAAGCTGCGCCGGGAGGAGCTAACCCCAAGCTCCGCGGGGAGAGCCGCCTGGGTTCTCCCCCCTCACTCTGGCCGCTGCATTGCAAGTGAGAGCAGCCACCAGCCACCTTTTCCTCCAGGCACCGGGGTCACCCGCCCCACTAGGATCCAGAGAGGCGCGGCGGCAGGTCACTCCTGCAGGCGCCATTCACACCTCCCCGGTCCCCGAGGCCCAATCACCTTGCAGCTTGTTTCAGCGTTGTACCGGAAATGGCCTATCAACGAGCGCGATCCTGGGACGGCCCCCAGCTCCAGCGGCGCCCAGAGTCGCGTGCCGCGGCGCCCAGGGCGGCGAGGAGCCGGGAGCCCCAGCCGTGCTTGCTTCAGTAAGGTGAACTTGACCTAGCGAGGAAAGGTCATCACACGGCTTTGGCGGGAGCCGCGGTGAAGCTGGCATCGCCAGCTTTGCTACGGGACTTTCTCAGGATACGGATCCAAAATGAGAGGTCCTCCAGGGGCTCATAAACTTAAGGGGCGGCCTGGGGCTCCGAGTGGGGAGGAACGCAGGACGGGAAGGAGGCGTCCCCAGGCCGACGTGGGTCTAATTAAGAAGTCGGCAGAAGTCCTAGCCCTACATACCCACCCCTTCCCAAGCTGCCGTATTTTTTAAATGGGGGGGGGGGGGGGCGGGTAATGACTAAAAAAACAAAACAAAAAGTACAGCAGTGGTGTATCTTAAATGCATTTAGCATACTGATGCTTTTAATACAAAAATACACTGCAGTGTAATTTTGCTATTCACAAAATAACTATAAGAGAAAAATAATACATAAGGTAAGGTCTAGTAATAGTTTCTGGGTCCAGACTACTTGTTTGAAGATAAAAATCAAAAGTTTACATTCTAGGGGCGCCTGGGTGGCTCAGTCAGTTAAGCGGCTGCCTTCGGCTCAGGTCATGATCCCAGGGACCTGGGATCCAGTCCCGCATTGGGCTCTCTGCTCAGCGGGGAGTTTGTTTCCTCTCCCTCTGCCCCTGCCCCTACCCCTGCTCTGCTCTCTCGCTCACTCTCTCTCAAATAAATAAATAAAATCTTAAAAAAAAAAAAAAGTTTACATTTCAGTTTCCTGAAAATAAGGCCTGGGGCCAAAGACCCTCTGCCTCCGACCAGCCTAGGCCATGCTTCTGAAGCCCCAAAGCTGTGGGTCCCAGAGGTAGCACATTCAGTACCTCCAAGTGGTTAAGTGCTTGGGCACTGATATTAGACAGACTTGAATTCTGATCCTGATTCTCTTACATGTGGTGTGGGCTTGGGCAAACCAGTTAATTTCTCTGAGCCTCCAGTTTTTTTTAATGTTAAAATGGTTCCAATAATGTCAACCTGAGGCCTCGCAGGAGTTACACGCCCCGCTGCCGACACACACACACACACACACACACACACACACACTCACGCACACTTCCTCTGGGACTCCTATACCATCTCTGACTCATTTCTTCCCTAGATCTGAGAGAACCTTTGTCTCTTGGGTAGGACAAAAAATTGAGGTTTGTGGTCCTCTGAAGCTCCAGATCCCAAAGACAAGGCACATCCCAGAGAAGTCTGTTGAGTTGAGGGGATCAATGTATGCCTGAAGTCAGACTTCTTGGAAAGCCTCAAGGACCCATCCTTCACAAAGATCTCCCTCTAAAGGAACTATGTGGTGCAATTTCAGTACCTTTTTTAAGTTAGTTCCATTTTCTCAGATTACAAGTGGTACCAAGCTGCTTCTAGTTTTGGGGAATATAACAATAAGTTTCTAAAAATAACCCTTGACTATTCTTTCTCCACACATCTTTTCTCCAATGAATGATATAGAGAGAGGAGGTCCTGATGTGGAACTGGGGAAGAGAAATACATTTTCTTCAGCACTTACTGAACTCAGGTCCTGAACCTCAGTGTTCCTAAAGAGAATCTTTAATTACATTATCTCATTTAACCTTCACAACATCCATAAGAAAAAGAAATGATTATCCATGTTTAATAGGTAAGAAAATTAAGGCAGAGAATTTTAGTCCCTTGCATGGGGAGCATAGGATCAGAGTGCTTTATAAATGGGAATTCACAAGGAAACAAACTCTTTGGAAAGGGTCCCAAAAATGAATTAAGTGTTGGAGTTCAGGGTACATTTTCTTTGGTTGGGGTGGGAGAGTTGTATGAGGTCAGTTGATGTTCATGATCACTTCAAGGTGAAGATCAGGATTTTAGTATGCCACTCACTAAAAAGAGGTTAAAATCTAGTGGGTTGTTTTTTTTTTTTTTCAGGTTTCCAGCTACACTTTTCTGAACACTCATGTGTTACTAATCTTGGGCCTTTAGAAACCTAAAATGGAAAGAGTATTGAAGTAGTTTCTCTATAGGGCGAGGATCTCAGGACCTTTGTCTTTTCCTGAGCTAATCTTAGAAGGTCCCTAGAGGGTTCCTGTTATTGGAAAGGAGTGCTGGGGGGAGTCTACCTTCACAGGTGGAGAATAATGCCCTCACTGAGGTATTCTATCAATCCTCATCGACAAGGTGGGCTCTTGGTGAGGGATCAATGGTCCCAGGATTCTATAGGACTGTGAGCCAACTGTGGGGACTTGGGCACCTCTCTTAATCAACTATCCAGGGGAGCTCTGACTCAAGTGTTTGAATTTGCCCACTGCCTCCATGGACCAAAAGTGGTTACAGTCTAAGTTCTGAGATTCTCCCTATGTTCCAGCAGAAAATAAGAGGAAGGAGATGCAGAAGGAAGGGACCAAAAGCCAAAAAATCTTGGGAGGTAGAAATATTAGGGCCAGAGCAGGTGCCTCACCCTGAGACTGAGGACCGTGGCCTGGCATTCATGATGCTCTGACATCTTAGAACCTACAGTCCGCATCCATCTGTGTTAATCCCCCACTATAAACCCTGGAATCAGATATGCTACCTTGACTGTAACTGGGCCTTCTGGAAACTCTCTACCTTGGATTTGCACCAAGGTGCATGGCCTTGCCTCTTTCCTGGGTGTGACTGTTGCTTCTCTAGGGCCTAGGAACTGATTAGCCACAGAAGCAGTGCCCAGAAATATCTCACTACTGGTACAGGAAGTGCTGGGCCCTTTTTAGCTCTTACAAGGACATCACCTGAATGAGTAAGTGGGGAGTGACCTCACAACTTTCCCAAGGGTCTGAAGTATTTTTCCATGTATTAGCTCTGATTAAGCATCAACAGAATCACGCTCAGTAGTAGAAAAAAAATCCAGAAACATGTTAAGAAGTAGCAAAAAGAACTGGGGTCTCAGTTCTTAGATCCAGACTCACCTGAGAGCATTAAGCACTATCCAGATATCTTCCAGAAGTCTAGGTTCGTTGAATCTGGGAGAGTGAGAGGGACACCAAGGATATGAGTTTGGGAGATACTTGAATAGCTAAGGGATGGGACTCTGAAGAAGATGGGGCAAAGACCATACCCCCAACCTTCAAGGCTTCTCCAAGAATAAAAAATATAAACTTATGGCATCTCTCACTGCTTCAAGATAGTAGAACATGGTAGGAAGCATCTCTCTTGTTGGCAAATTCCATCTCCCTCAGATAATAATTCTCTTGAATTAACTGCCTACCAGACCCCAAACTTTACCCAGTTGACTTATTTAAACCTCAATGACATGTATGTGAGACAGATGATATGACCCCAGTCTTAAAGAAACCTACACTGGCAAGGTAAAGTAACTTGCTTACATTACCCAGCTGCCAAAAGGTGGAGCCAGGGCTCAAGAGAGGTTCCTTTCTCCTGAGCTCTTCCCGCTGAATTAGGAGCCCATCACAGGTCCTGTGTCTTATATCTGTAATGGAAGTGAACTACAGACTGAGGGTCCATTGCAAACCTCTCGAAGTAGAAGGACCATCTCTTTTGTAGATGGGGGTAGGGCACAGGAGCAAGGGGAAAGCAAAGAAAAAAATGTTTCCTTCCTTTGATTTTTTAAAAAAGATGTTTTATTTATTTATTTGAGAGAGAGAGAGTGTGAGCACGGGGAGGAGAAGAGGGGGAGGGAAAAGAAGGGGGAAAGAACCTCAATCTAACTCCTCACTGAGCCCAGTGCCTGATGCGGGACTTGATCTCACAACCCTGAGATCATGAGCTGAGCTGAAACCAAGAGTCGGATGCTTAACCGACTAAGTCACCCGGGCGCCCCAATTCCTTTGATATTTGTGAACAATTGCTGTGCTTAGGCGTAGCTGTATAGCACAGTGGTTAGGATAAATGGGCTTCAAAGTCGGATACACTGGATTCTAATGCTGGCTCCTTAATTTAGCAGTGTTACAGAGGAGGGTATCTTCCTGGACTGAGTTTGAGTGCCCCCACTCAGAAAGTGAAACGATCAGCCTCATGGGGTTGTTTCAAGGACTAAATGAGATAACGTATTGAAGTGTTTCTGCAGTTCCTGGCACATTGTGCGGGTTGTTGTTTTGTTATTACACTACAGTTATTAGATGTTTAGGAACAACAAAGAATAAGATTCTGCCTTTGCCCACTCAGCCTTCAGAGCGGTGGGTAAAAGGGAAGAGGGCGCTTCTGTAAGCCACCGCAATGCAACTGGTGGCCAGGACTTCTATCCCAGGAGTGTGTGTGAGCTGCTCAAGGGCTGAGATGGCTCAGGACGGAAAGTTCTAGTGATTATATCAGTAGAACGAGCACTGGACTTGGAGTCAGATAGCCCTGAGTACCAGCAAGCCAGTCTCAATGTTCTTATTCTTAAACAGGGACCACACTCCCTACCCTCACGAGGAGCGTTGCTCAGAATTAGATGATTCACAAGAAGGCTGTTGAATACCTGGGATGTTGCGTACCTGGGATAATGAAGAAATTCCATAAATCCCATAAATTTCCATAGATAATGAAGAAATTCCATAAATTTCCCTAGAATTGGCTTCTCTCGGGACAGGAACGCGGTTCATTTTGCAGCCGGGAAGCGCTCCCGGAGGCCTGGGGGTCAGCGGAACAGAAGGAGCCGAGGTAGAATCGGGCAGAGGACTCTGACCAGTGCGGGCTCACTACACAGTAACCTCGTCGGGGCGCCTGGTCCTGCGCGTGTGAGCCGGCCCCCTGCCGGGCGTTACCTAGCAACAGCGTCCTAGAGTCGGGCCCCAGGGACCAACCAGCGCAGACCTAGTTATTTCAGTGATGGAGTGGTCCAATCACTGGGCGCTGCCAGAAGCAACGTCCTCTAGCCAATCTCCGCCAGCGCCAATACGGGCTTAGGAATTGTAGGAGCTGAGTGTTCGGAGCTGACACTTGACAGATAAGGTCAACCGGAACGAATAACAAGCTTCCGAGTGCCTCTGAATGACGGTTGTGAAGGCAGGTCGCCGCCATATTCTCTTGGGGCATTTTCCGGTCCCACTGTCCACTCTGAGTACCAGAGTGACCCACGATGCCGTGATTCCTCCGTTGCAGCCGGAGCTTGGCCCTACGTCCGGGCCAGCTCAGACGCCGGGCCCACTGGGGCAGTGTCTCCTCAGCCCGGAAAAGACAGTGACCCTGGGGTTGGAGCATCCAGGATCTGGGGACTGGAAGAGTCCAAAGCGCCGCCTCCAGCCCCGCTCCCCATCTGGAGCGCAGAACCTGGACCGGAGCCGAGGAGGCTTGCCGCGGTGGTCGTGTATTTTTTCCTGGCGGAATGGAGAAATCCGAGGCTCGGAAGGCCTTGTGCCGGACGGGATGCCGGAGACCTAAGGCCACGTGGGGGCGCTCGCTCTGCCCATTTTTTGCTGCTCACTCATTCATTTTTCACAATGTATCTAAACCAGTTCTCGGGCGACAGCTGCAGCCACGGAAACCACCCAGACGTGCAAAAGGCCTAGAGGGGATGGGGGACAGAGGGGGTAAAGTGGCGGGGCTGAGACTTAGGGAGGGACTGTTCTAGAATGCCTCCTGGAAGCCTGGGGGTTTTTTGTTTTGTTTTGTTTTAAACAATTTACATAACCATTTTTCCTTGTCTAAGACTACAACATAGTTGGTTTTTTTAAATTTTATGTATGTATGTATGTATGTATGCATGTATGTATGTATGTATTTATTTATTTGACAGAGAGAGACACAGCGAGAGAGGGAATACAAGCAGGGGAATGGGAGAGGGAGAAGCAGGCTTCCCGCGGAGCAGGGAGCCCGATACAGGGCCTGATCCCAGGACTCTGGGATCATGACCTGAGCCGAAGGCAGATGCTCAACGACTGAGCCACCCAGGCGCCCCTGGTTTTTTTTTTTTTTTTAAAAAACAGCTTTATTGAGATATAATTAACACACCATAAACTTCGTCCCTTTAAAGT